ATAATCTCCACTAATATTCCGGGGCCCCTTTGAAAAAACATCCGATTTCAATAGTTTATTCTAGTTACTGACTGCCTTATGTATGTGGCCAGTCTTTCCAGCAGTTAAGAATTGTACCTATCATCAAATATTAAGAATGCCTCCAACTTCTCTAAGAGAGAGAGAAAACCTTGTATAAAGATAGTATGTGTCCCGTTTCTTGAAATGTCCACAAAAGAGCTCCGTTACTACATGCTAACCTTTTCTGTGACTAACTTGGGGCCTCAGTCTCAGCACTGTTGACATTTCAGGCTGGATCATTCTCTGTAGGGGACTGGCCTGTGCGTTGCAGCAGCAGCACCCCCATCCCCCACCTGCCCCATACCTGGGCACCAATGTGACAACCGTAAGTATCTCCAGACACTGCTGTGTGTCCTCTAGGGGAGGGGGGATAAAATTGCCCAGGTTGAGAATCACTGCTCTAGCCTAAGAGTAAAAGAAGAATCATTTTCTTGCATTTTATTCAAAGCTCTGGAAACAGGCTTCAAGAAAAAGTAGATGTCCCATTATTTCTCTTTAGCTCATTGTTGAGGACTTTGGCAGTGACATCTCTATCTATTTGAAATGATTGGTTCATAAATCCTCATTATTTTAGGCCAGTTCTCTCCTTGGAACAAGTTTATCTTTGGAGATGCAAATTCACAAACTCTAAGCATCTTTTTTATACTTATTGTGATCTTCTACACTGATTCAGCACTGAATTGCATTACAAGGCATTTTTATTTAATCATTTCTAAATAACATAGACTGGCTAAAGGAATCAGTTGTACAAGTCTATAAAATAGTGTTAGCACTAACAGAAGAGGTTTTATCTATTTCATTACAATATTGTAAAAAGTGATCTAAGTAAAACCTGTACTAAAATATAATGTAATAATAACCTTTAATACCTCCTACCTCAAGATTCTGTCTCTGGAAAGAAAGTCACCATTGCCTCTGCAATTTGCTTCCTGGTGTCTCAAGAATACACTAATTGGGGCCCCTGGGTGCCTCAGTCGGTGCTAATCAAGAATAAGCACCTTGATTTCAACTCCTGATTTTAGCTCAGGTCATGATCTCACGGTCCGTGGCTTTGAGCCCCAGGTTAGGCTTCGCACTAGCAGCACAGAGCCTGCTTGGCATTCTCTGTCTCCCCCGCTTTCTGTCCCTCTCCTGCACAAGCTCTCTTTCTCTCTCAAAATAAATAAACATTTACAATTTTTTTAATGTTTATTTTTGACAGAGAGAGAGAGAGAGAGCGAGTGAGCATGAGCAGGGGAGGGGCAGAGAAAGAGGGAGACAGAATCAGAAGCAGGCTCCAGGCTCCGAGCTGTCAGCACAGAGCCCGACGCGGGGCTTGAACTCACGAACTGCGAGATCATGACCAGAGCCGAAGTCAGACCCTTAACCGACTGAGCCACCCAGGCACCCCAATAAATAAATATATTTTTGAAGAGACTACACTAATAATCCTATTTTTTCATTTATGTTAGATGTTATCTATTTTCTTACGGCTAGTGCATGAGGGTTTACCATTATTTCAAATCCCCTCACTTGTGATCCTCCGCATTCTCAATATATTACAATTTTTACCTAAATCATCAATGTTTCACGATGAGCCAACAGTGTACCCAGACATCCTTGTTGACATCCTCACACTAATGTTCCCTCTCTTATTGTCCATGTGGGTTATATACTTCAAACATTCCTTTTTTTTTTTTTTTTTTCATTTAAGGGCATTTTGAGAAGGAGAGATAAAAGCACATAGCCATCACACATTTAACAGGAAACTAAAGTTATTTTTGATAACTTTTAAAAGATTACATTAAAAATCTCAAAATTTTCTTGTTAGAAAACAAAATCCCTACTTCACCCTCACCTCATGCATTAAGCATAAATGAAAGCTAGGCACTTTTTTTTCTTTTTTAAGAAACGAGTGATGCTAACTAGATTGTGGTGATCATTTCACAAATCTACATAAATATCAAATCATTACATTGTATCCCTGAAGCTAATATAATGCTGTATGTCAATTATATTTCAATAAAAAATAAATAAAAGGCAGTTTACCAGAAATACTTCATTTGTTCCCCTTCTGTATACTGGCAACACGGTTATCTTTCCTACTTAAGGACAGATCTGTTCTTCTCTCTTCTGACCTTGTTCAATTTTCCTTTATCTGCCTGGGCCACTGAAACCTGGGAAGCATCAGACAGCCTCGCACCATGAAAGTGCATGCTCTTGTTCCATGAGAAATGAGTTTGTAATAAATGTCTCCTGTACCAAGAAAAAAAGGTATAAAACCTGATTTTTACTTTTTCATAAAAAATAATTTTTGTTTCATCCTTAACAACCAAGAAATCAGGACCACCCAGATAACAAAAGCAGAGGATTAAAAAAGATACCCTATTAACATGACAGATGAAGAAGATACTAGGTGAGAATCCGTATAGAAGAAAGCCCACAATTTGGAACATGTGGGAATCAAAGTCAAGCAGTTAATTACTAACAAAGACAGTAACAGTGCTTCTTTTGTCTTCCACAGTGAATGCACAATTAGCACTTAATACTAAGGCTGGGGAAAAACCATCTATAATCTACTGAAAAAGACCATGTGCTTCTATAAATTTTGTTCTTATACACTTGCCAAAAAAAGAGGACATATTAACAAAATAATGGGCCCTGCATTGTTAATTGCTAGGTTGTTTGCAGTTGTGCTGTTGCTATTAGAATTTAATAAGCTATTCCTTCTCCTAAATTAATAAGCAGCCAAGATTATGTAATAGCTGCTTTCAGCTGCTAATTATTTTTCCCATAATTCCTTTCCCCCACTACCCTCCCACCCCCACCTTTTCTTGGCTAGGAGCACCAGAGGCTGCCAATATGTCATCAGCAAGTCTCCTGTCTTCATTTTCAGAACCACAGACCTACATTAGGAACATAACCAATGACTTTAAACTTAAAGGTGGTTATCTTAGGAACCTCGTTTGTACAGAAAAAGAGAAAAACAGCATTTGGATCCAGAGGACAAGTTTTCATTGCATAGTATTAGATCTATCTTTGAACTGACTAATGGCATCTGTTTTGTGTAGTAAGGGAGAAATGGGGCATTAACATGTGACTTTGGAGAATGACTACTCAGGAAGCAGAGAGAAATTTGGGCAGGGGGCCTAAAGACCACAGAAAGCCATCTCTGTGCCTTCTGTCGACGACTTGTTTAATATCCCAGCATACATTATCATATATATTTGTAGGAAATTTTCCTAGCAGTATAGCTGTGCTCAAAAGGGAAGGTATTATACATTTTCATTTTGTCAAATAAGGGCATTAAAAATGCCCTCAAATCCCTACTACATACTATCAGAGTTTTATAGACCTTTTACCACACAAAAAAGAACACAATCCCTAATAAAGGATTCCTTTAAATTGATTAAATTTAGCTTCGTGGAAAACGTAGCATTTCTTTTTCACTTTGGGCCATTAAAAAATTCTGGCGACTGTGTTTGGGAACCTCTGCAAAAAGGGCATAGCTCAACAAAAGCAATTTTCTAGCTTCCTTTGTAAGAACCTAGGTGACTGGGGTAATGAATAGCATTCAACATGAGAAACCCGTGGCTGTTCAAGCAAGGTCACTTAATCCCGTGGGGCTCCCCTTTCCTCATCTGTAAAAGATGAGTCGGACTAGATGATTCATCCATTCTTCTCATTCAAAAAAATATGGACATACATTATGTGCCAGGCACAAAACTCAGCACTTTGGTTCTTAACAAATCTATCATTTTATAGTCCTCATCGGTCAACTCCCATTTATTAGATGTGTTATCTATCAGGCAGTGAACTAGGTTGGGACGCAAAATGAATAAAATTCAAAACGTGCTGAATAGAGGCAAATGGATACGTGGGGATGCAAAATGAGTAAAACTCAAGATGTGCTAAACAGAGGCTAATGAACGTGTGGGTGAAAGAGGGATTCGTTCTTACAGGGTTTGAGGGTGAGGCTTCATAGATGTTAACATTTGAGAGGAAGTGCATGCCAGGCAGAGCAAGTCTTCGGCAAGGCTTAACTGGAACACAGGCGGCTTTGGGGGCGGGGGGCGCGAGTCCGTGTGAAGGAAGTGGGATCTCAAAGACGAGATGCGGTCGGGGCTTTTCGGCAGAGAACGGACAGTAATTCATCAGGTCCGCAGCACTGAGGACTGGCGAGACAAGCCCAGGGAAAAGACACTCGCACGGCTTGGGGCAAAAGGTGTCTAGGGCTGTAGCAGTGCAATGGGAAGGACGTGCCGGATTCCAGGCAGTTTGGAGGCAGAATGATTGCAAAAGGCCCTCTGAACGCGTGCACGAGCTCCTCGACAGAGCTGACTTGTTTTCCCCAGTGGTGCAGCACTCCCTCACTCTCCTCACCATCACCACCGGCAGTGACGCCTCCCCGCCCCGCCCTCTTTGGGCACGGAGAGTTATCGGAGCTCGAACTTGGCTCTTGGCGATCCTGACCTTCCCTGCCCCGCACAGCGGGGTCGACAAAGGGCACCTCGGAACCCTGCGCTCCCACCACTGGATAGGTGAGGTAGCCGCCCGCCCGAGTTCCGAAGGTACGCGCAGGAGCGCGCAGGCGCACAGGCCTTGGCAAAAGCCGCTTCCGGGTCACGTGGCCTGACTTCCGGCCGGGACCACGCCTCTCGGTAGAGACGCGGCCAATCGGCCTTCTTGGAGTGCGGTCACCTGCGCTGCCTCCGGTGCCGCTGGCAACGGTCGAGCTGCTTCCCGCGCGTCGCCCAGCCCGCCCCTCCGCTCGCCGCAACCCCGGCTCCTCCCTCGTCCAGCCCACAGGGCGGGGTCTGTCGGCTCGCCCTCCCCTCGCCGCCTAAGCCTTCCCTCTGCCAACTGGGTCTCCTCCCCGCGGCAACACGGCTTCTCTTCCTCAGCTCGGCGACAGGGGCTTCCCCTCAGCCGCCGCCGCCGCCGCCGCCCCCGTCGCAGCCGCCGCCGGCCGAGCCACGCCGTGCCCGCGGCCCGCGGCCGCCGTAAGTCCCGGGGAGCGAGCGGGGGCGTCGGGGACGGGGAGGCGAGAGGGAGGATTGGGCGCGCCCTCCGCCGCCCCGCGCGCGCCCCGACGACCCCACCCCGTGTCTGGCCGCTGGCCCCCCAGTGGGGCGCCGCGGCCGGCAACTCACTTCTCTCCGCGTCCGCGCCCCTCTCCACTCCTCGCCGCGCCCCGAGGATGCGGAGCCCCCGCGGCACCTGTGGTTCGGGAATCACCTCAAGTTTTGCGGGGCATTTTCGGGAGGGGCTCGCGGCCCGGGGCGGCCGAGGACCCTTGGCGCCCCCTGCGCGGCGGCGAATGCCATTGTCTGCCCCGCTCCTAGCCCGTCACCTCGCTCGGGCTCGGTCAGTGATGGAGTGCGGCCCCGTGGGGCGGCGGGGAGGCGTCGGAGACGGCCGGACGGAGGAACGCTGGCCCTGAGCCCGCTCCGCGGCCGAGCCTATTGTTTTTAATACCAATCTCGAGGAACTGGGGTGGCCTGTGATTTGCGGCAAAATCAAAGCATTAGTTTTTAACTCGAGGGAAGGAATACTTGTGCTTCGTAACCGGGTATCGTCCCATGTTAGCACATAATTATTTTAAAGAGTGAATTATTTATTCGCCCTATGAAGTGGTAGGGAGGGGATACAGACATCCTTGAGCTCGTAATCTTTTTCCAAAGCAACCCCCCACCCTTCCAGGTCATCAGGGTCCGGGAATAGGGGTCTGTTATTCTCAAAGTTCTGGTAACGGGTCTGCGTTAAACCCGTTGTCCAGTTGATGCTTTACTTGCTGTCCCCCTTCGCATGCCGCTATCTTAACAGGACTCGTACGGGGGGCACTTTGATAACAAGAACGTCGTTCGTTTATTTTGTGCCAGGGAAGGTTTGAAGTGAGGTGTAATAAGCCGATTTTATTTAACTTAAATATAGAGTATTAAAGTTAAATTGCCACCTCATAAATTGCTAAATATCTTTCTTGTTGATGCCCGTTTGGATTAGTACGAAAAGCGTCACTAATTTCTTAGGGAAATTTAGAGCCCGGTTTATTCTAAATTGGTTGTGTAAATTTCCCCACCCCATATTCAAATTTAAGATGGTGTGGTGCATATTAAGAATCAGGCTGGAATCTTGTAGTAACGCTGTTAAAGGAACTTAAAATAGTTCACAAGGGGGGGGGGGAAAAACCCTGTCTGAATTCTACCTTTAAATTACTTTTGTAGAAACCATGCCTACCTGTTTGCAGTTGAAAAGACCAGTTGAATTACAAGAAGCTTTCCTTGAAAATTAAACATCTAAACAAATCAACAGATTCGAGATTCCAAATACACATATACAAAATAGTTTAAGTAAAATACACCAGAATTCAGCATCCACTCCATCTGTAGATGCCTTTTTTAATTGTTTCAAATGAAGTATTTCGTGTAATGTCTCTGCATGTGTGTACCTCTTATTTTGGCTTTTAGAGGTTTATATTCTCTGTCATATTATTACATTAGCCCACTTTATTGTGTGCATATTTATGCTGGAATTTTTAAAAAGTGAAGATGAGAAGAGAGACTTAAAAATCAGGCTTTTATTAGGAAAAATGTGCCTTTGTGGGGTTTTCTCTGGGTTAATATTTGAGATCTTTTGTTTTGCTTAAGATATGTAAGCATAAACTGAAGAGGGCATCCTAAGTGATAGCAGTCTGTCCACAAGTAATTCAGCCTGGAACTGGAACAACCTCACGGTGAAAAACAGTAGTAGATCTGCTGTTTCTTTCAAATGTATCTGAACCAGTTGATGTCAACAGTTCTCTTTTGAAGCATACAGAGAATGTGAAATGTATAGCCTTGGCAGACAGTAGTTTCTGAAATTGCAAGAATTATCTTTCTTCTTCCTCAAAATTTTCACTCTGGCTTTTTACCTGTCCCCCCCCCCCCCCCCCCCCCCCCCCCCCCCCACTATTCTCTAAACTTAGGTGGAAAGGGATGGGGTGGGAAGATTTACATCTGGTCAGAAGATCTTTCTACAAGAATTTCTTGCTATTTTAACCAGCATAGAAATACTGATGGTTGCTAATCATTTGTCAGTCAAAGGCCCTGCCCCCAAAGCTTCTCTGTGAAACATGTCCTCTTAATCTCTACTGAATCAAAGTGTTGCATGTAATCTTGGTTCTATTTATCTTAACAGATGCAGTTTATGTTGCTTTTTAGTCGTCAGGGAAAGCTTCGACTGCAGAAATGGTATGTCCCACTGTCAGACAAAGAAAAGAAAAAGATCACAAGAGAACTTGTTCAAACCGTTTTAGCACGGAAACCGAAAATGTGCAGCTTTCTTGAGTGGCGAGATCTGAAGATTGTTTACAAAAGGTATAATTTTTATTTCTCAGAAAGATGAAATAGTAGAATCAAATATTTGGTCACTTATAATGTGGTAATGGCAGACTTTTAAGAAATGACATTTATAAATAATGAATAATGATTTAGATGAAAAAGGTTTAAGTCAAAGCTTTGTATTTTTAAAATAACTGCTATTTTGCTTGATTACCCAGGCAAAAAGATAAAATCAGGAAAGTCGATTGAAAACTAATTATGTAAATAAAGGCATAAATGATTATTACTATTTAATCTTTTTAGAAAAATGCGATGAATTTATGTCTTTGCAGGTGAAAATGGGGCCGTATTTTAAATGGTGTGAGTAATTCTCTGAATTTAAACAAGCCTTTTCCCTCCACCCCCTTCTTGAAAATCTATACAGTAATGTCTGATACTTGACATGCCTTTTTTCGGACTTTTACAATCTTATGAACACAACACCTTGGATGGATAGACCATTTCAGTCATATAGATGTTTTGAAACTATGTATATACAATATCTCTTTACTAGTGTTAACTGATTTGAAGTATACTTGTGGTGGAGGTGTAATTAGATCTGATAATTTTGGGAAGAATAGATTTTTAAATTTTTGGTGTTGCAAAACGTCGCACACATTTGCTTGAACGCTAAGCTTTTATTTTTTATTTTTTTAAAGTTTATTTATTTTTTAGAGAGAGAGCGAACGAGCGTGAGCAGGGGAGGGGCAGAGAGAGGCGGAGGACAGAGGATCCAAAACAGGATCTGCGGTGACAGCAGAGAGCCCGATGCAAGGCTCAAACTCACAAACCTCGAGATCATGACCTGAGCCGAAGTCGGATGCTTAACCGACTGAGCCACCCGAGGGCCCCTGAATGCTAAGCTTTTAAAAAAAATGTACGTCTCGGGGCGCCTGGGTGGCTCAGTCGGTTAAGCATCTGACTTCGGCTCAGGTCATGATCTCACAGTTCGTGAGTTCGAGCCCCACATCGGGCTTGCTGACAGCTCAGAGCCTGGAGCCTGCTTCGGATTCTGTGTCTCCCTCTCTCTCTGCTCCTCCTCTGCTCATGCTCTGTCTCTGTCCTTCAAAAATAAAATTAAAAAAAAACCATAAAAAATGTACGTCTTTATTAATATCTGAAAGTCTTTCAATACCTTAAAATACATTTCTCAAGATTGGGCTAATCAGGTTAAAAGAAATATAATTACTTTGTTCTCCATTTCCCTTCCCTTACAAATAATTTACTGTATTTAAGATGAGTGTTTCTGCATGTCAGAAATTGTCTTCTGTAGGGAAGTGCAGAGAACTAACAGGTATGGGCTGCAAGGAGAGTTGAAGAGAAGTCTGGGTTTTATCTCCATTTCCTTTATTCCACTCTAAGTATGGATGCATTTTTTTTGGTGGGGGAGATGGCAGAGGAAGTAATGGACATTATAGGACATCGAGAATATTTTAAATACCATAAACTCCTCTTTCCAGTAGGATAAATTTAGTCATCTTTGGGCGATTTTGTATCCAGTGTTTGTTTTAGTACTTGTTGAGAAAAATCATAGCATTTTAGAGCTGAGAGAGGTCTTAGAATAATCTAGTCAAGTGATTGTTTTAAAAAGCTTGTTGCCCCCAAGGTTAGAACCCTAAATGAAACAAGTGGAAGTGGAGGTGCTCTCATGAAATCAGGACTGGGATCTTATACCCCTGCTCACTTGGCCTGTACCCTCTGCATAGGAGAAGTGTTTTTTTTTTGTTTGTTTGTTTGTTTGTTTGTTTTAAATAAAACGCTACTTTGTTTTTAATGTTTATTTTTGACACACACACACACACACACACACACACACACACACAGTGTGAGCGGGGGAGGTGCAGAGAGAGGGGGGAACACAGAATCCAAAGCAGGCTCCAGGCTCTGAGCTGTCAGCACAGAGCCCAATGTGGGACTCAAATCCATGAACCATAAGATCATGACCTGAGCCGAAGTAGGATGTTTAACCAACTGAGCCACCCAGGTGCCCCTAAAATGGCTACTGTTGATTAAACTTCAATTTTAGAAAAGAAGAATTTGGGAGACCTTACTTGTTCAAGGTCACGTTCTAGTTAGTGACTGACATGGAGACTAGAACTGAAATATTAAGCCTGGAGGCAAAGGTTTTAAATGGGGATGAGAAAAGAGCACATATGTATTTCTTAAAAGATCCTTGTAATAGGAGAATGGGTAAGGGGAGCACCGGGACTGGCACCTGAGGGGTCTCTTAAGGAGACCGCATTATAATGAGGCCCTGAAGGAAGACTGCTGCTGTGTGCACAGCAGGTGGAGAGAGCTGTTACTATGAGGTAAGTTTTAGAAGACTTGGTGGCTGCTAAAAGGAGGGGGGCAGTGATTCCACATTTCTGGTTCAGCTGACGGGGAAATTGGAGGTAGCAGACATGTTGACTTTGCGATGCCTGTATGACTTCGATTTGAAGATGCCTAGTTTTCTCGGGGTGAGTGTGGAAGTCAGGGGGGAAACGAGGCATAAAGTGTTAGATCACCAGCATTCAAAGGGCAAGCAAAGGGTGTATTGTATAGGGTCAGTAACGTCAGGGAAAGGGAGAGAGTTTTGCAAATTAAGTCACCATTGCCAAAATTGCAAAAACAGTTTAAATGAAGAAAAGAATCTTTTAGGTTTTACAATGAGAGTTCATAAAATGCCATCTGTGGGAACATTTTCAGTGAAATAGTAGGAACAGGAGTCTCGAAGAAATGGAGCAAAGTGTGAAGAAGAGGTGGAGACTTTTAAACACCAAGTGTAGACTATTTGGGGAGCTTTGCTCCGAAGACGCGAAGAGGTGGTAACCACCCATAGATGCAGGAGTCGGAAACAGGGTTTTTAAAAAGGTG